GCAACTAGGTTACAGGAGATACAACGTTAGCCAACTAACCCCGGGGGTGGGGGATGGGGGGGAAAGGAGAAGGGGAGGGAGGGGGTTCGCGACGCTGAGAGAGAAAGGAGATAGATACACGCAAACCCGTTACAATGGTCCGCAGTGGTGGAAGAAGTGGTTTGGAGGAAGTGCCTCAGTCTATATAGAGTCTCATCGCGGGGGTCCTTTTCGGGTGGAGCAGGGTCGTCGATTGTCGAAGAATCCTCTCGGAGTGAAGTGAAGGTCCGTCTGGCGCGGAGGGGGCGCAGTTCAGGCAGTCCCCTCCAGGTCCAGTCCGGCAGTGGGGTCGGAGTACTGGCAGTGGCCCATGATGTGTTCCACGTGGATGTCACGGGACCAACGGATGGTGTCGGACACCATGAGGCAGCGTATCAGCTTGGTGTAGCGGCGGGAGACACGGCAGGCATGCAGGACGCTCTTATTGCTGGGGTCCCAGGCTCCAAGCGTTCCCACGATGAGCGCATTGACTGTCACATCGTAGCCACAGCCCCTCGGGTGTCGGCCAGCGGGGCATACTTCTCCCGCTTGCAAGCCCGGGCGTCAGTGAAGGCTTGGCGCCGGTTCTCAAAGGGGATGGTGACGTCCACGATCACGACCTTCTTGGCCTCTTTGTTGGTGATGACTATGTTGGGTCGCATCTGGCTCTCGCAGCCCAGGACAGTGCGGTTCACAGAGATCTCCCCTGCCGCGGCCGGGATGGCCCTCGCCAGGAGGTCCTGGACAGCATTGTGGCAGAGCTGCCAGGCTCTGGCATGTGGGGGAGGGTCTCTGCCACGTAGCCGCACTGTCGACACCTCTTGTCCCGGTGGCTGAAGCACATGGCCCCGTTCAGAGGCAGGCAGTTGAGGCGGGTACGGTGGAGGAAGCGCCAGTCCGCAAAGTGTGTGAAGCTCCCGCTGGGCATGAAGTGGTTGCTAGCATCCCACTTCGAGGTGACGTCGAAGATCTTGCCCTGGTCGGGTTTGGCCCTCAGGTCACTGGTGTACTTGTTTCGGACGGCGTCCTTCAGGAACCTCTCCAGGAAGGTCCTCGTGCGGGGTGTCACGGTGATGCGGTTGGCGTGCGGGGCTGGTTGCAGGGGGACTCCCAGTTCCTGGCACTCCTCGGTTCAGGTCCAGGCGCAGCCGATGCGATCCATTACAGAAGATCAAGAATCTGAGCCGATCTGTGGATAGCACCCTGGTTAGAATCTTAAAAAACTTCTTTCTCCAAGTGTGAGACTGGGGAGAAAAAGTAGTGATAATTTTTTCCAGGCTCTGTCCACATGTGCCAGTAATGTGAGATGCAACTAACTGTGGTTATTTTAATGTCATCTTCATGTTAGAAAGGATTTTTTTAAATCAAATCTTGGATAAGGGATAGGCAGCCCCTCGGTACATGTTCCAGAGTATGGCACGCGAAGTCATTTTGCTTGGCATGCGCACCTTGGGACGGATGGCAGGGGAGCTGCAAGGGTCCTGATCCTTGTGGCAGTGCAGCCACAGCCTCTTCCCCACTGTCCACCTTGGCATGGACCCCAGTGCAGCTGCTTGCAGACTCCCTGCTGCCTGGTGCGAGCAGCCAGTGGGGCTCTGTGGCAGGCAGCAGGGGCCTGCTCAGAGCCTGGGTCGGCTATGGCAGACAGCCAGGAGGCTGCAAGAAGTTGATCTAGAAAACTTTGATTGTTTTGGTTTTAAATTATTCCCCTTTGCTGAAAAAGGAAGAGTTCATAGAGATTACATGATGGAGATTATAAGAAAACAAAGTGAGCATCAAAAACAATTCCTACTAAAGGAAAGAGACAGGGGCACTGAATGGTGGGGAGGGGACCAAAAGAAAAAGGAGGAGAAACAGGCTGAAAATACCACAGGAAAAGACTAACCATGACAAAAGGAAGGAAAGGGGGAGGGGAAAGGAGAGGAAAAGCAATAGCTAGAAAGGTTGAGAAGGTACCACAAAAACATGGGATTCTAGAAACTTGGCTCTCCCTCCTCCTCTTCCCCCCAGCATATAACAGCAAGTTGAGTTTTTCATAATTTTAAATACAGTATAACCTTTATCGCAGGTGTGTGGCATCACAAGCATTTCTTCTGTTTCTGCTTCTTGTCCAGTAAAAGTTTTTAAAAGCCTGGGTAGAAGTGTGCTCTTTGATAAAGCAGTTTATGTACACAGGCGTTTGCAGTTATATCTCCTGCTATGACGACCAGCGTGTCTATACTATACAATGCTACCTAGCTGGCTCAACCCTCCTTTTCTTTTATGTGACTTTTCCCTCTGCATGTTTTATATGAAAAAAGAAAACTTGCTTGATACAAACACTACAGCAGATCAGTTTATATGCTTTAGTCTTGTCCTGTTGCAAACTCTCATGGAAAAAAAATCTAACTGTATCTTGGGAAGCGGAGGTCTTAAACATGCAACAAGTGTTTTTACACACAGTGGTCAAAATACTTTGCTATTTCTTGAGCTTGGAACTTGACTGATGATCTGACATTGACATTGGGATAAAAATCCATCCTGAAGCTTAAGTGTTATGATATGACTTTAAAATAGTTAGCAGCCGCATCATATTACAGTAATTTAAGGACTTGTTAGTTTGCTTCAGAATGCTCCTAAATGCAAATCGCAATTAACTATGATCAGTGGACACTTTTCACAAGTTAAGTAAAAATATAGCTGTTGTCCTGGATAGGTTGTTAATTGCTTGCCAACACGGTATAAGCACTCTATCTTGCACACATTTTAGAGGTTGAAGTAAATGGGATGGCAGTTGTTCAGAAACTGAAGGAATAGGCCTTTGTTGCATGAATCTTCACCAAAAAGCAAAGGTTTTTTTTATTTCTAAGGCAAAGTCCATTTAAATGTTACATCCCACAGCCATCAAAGAAAAATATTGAAAGTTTTCATACCATTAGTAGACGCTGATGAGGCCTTGAAGTTTTGTATAGCCGCTCCTCTTGCAGGTTTAAAAAACTTCATTTACAGGCTTCAAAGGTAGTCTCATCAATTCTTTTCCTTTGGGATGTTGGCTGCAATGAGCTTTGATACAGAGACTCCCTATGTTCTTTCAGAATATGTGCTCCTTTTAACACTTTCACTGATGCTGAAGATGCCATGTTCACTAAGATTAATTTCAGAAAGGGAGTGAAATGGCATAGATGTGGGAGTGAAGGGCCAGTGGCTAATATAAATTCAATATGAAATATCTTTTCACACTTTAAAGTTGATTAAATCAGTACTCTGACACACTGTCAACAATAGAGAGAATTTGATGTTTCTAAAAAAATGGTACTCATTAAATCTGACAGTTTTAACTGTGTTTTCAATGTTTCAGGATTTGCCATTGGCATGCCTGTCTGTGAATTTGATATGGTTAAGGATCCAGAGGTGCAAGACTTCAGAAGAAACATTCTTAATGTCTGTAAAGAAGCTGTGGATCTTCGAGATGCCAATGCGCCTCACAGTAGGGCTTTGTATGTCTATCCTCCAAATGTAGAATCTTCACCTGAACTGCCCAAACACATATACAATAAGCTAGACAAAGGTAAAAGCACTATTTGTTACGGCAATTTACAGGCTTTATACTGTGAAACAGATCAGTGAGAACAAATACTAATTAGAAAGATTAAATCAGTATTTTAATCTAGAAGGTTTATGTGTTGTAGCAGTATTTCAGTCTGAGTTCACACTTTCTTTTTAATCAGGATAGCCTGCAAAGTAGCAATTGAATTCAAAAGAAATATTACATTTAATTAAGTATATAATTCAATTTGTCTATATTCTAGCAATTTAAAAGCTTAAGTTTATCCAGTTATATTGTACTGTTTTGTGCAGTTGAATCAGCAGTTATGTGACAAGTACTAATTTGCAAACTTCTCTTATTATTTTTGTCTTTGTTCAAAAACTGTCTAATATTCAGAAAATCTAGAATGAAGTATTCCTGGGTACATTATCTATCTTTTAGTTTTGTAGAGGGAGAGGTAGCTAGCCTTAAGTAAGGCAGAGGGCAGGGCAGTGTTGCTAGCATCTGTAAAGTGTTGCTTATCAAAGTTCATGCTTTCTGAATTAGTCTATCAGGTGTTACTCTGCCCTGGCTTTTTTGTAGTTGTTAGTTACAGAAGAGTCGTAATTTCAGTGAAAGTGATTGGCTCTTCAAATGGTACTAGTTAACTGGAAAAGGGTTTTCCAACTCCAAAGGTATAAAAGTTGATTTGAAGAGTATATTCAAAAGTAATTGTAAAAGAAAGTGCAACCGGTACCTTGCAGAACTTCTCAGTACTTTGCAAGGTCAGGCCATGTGTTTTGCCTGCATGTTCTTTCTGTGCAGAAAATTGCTAGCCAATCCCTTAGACTGACCAGTTTCTTTAAAGAATGATGTATTGGCAGTGATAGAACCTGACATTTATTTTACATTATTCCAGGGCAAATTATAGTGGTGATATGGGTTATAGTCTCTCCCAACAATGATAAGCAGAAATACACCTTAAAAATCAACCATGACTGTGTTCCTGAGCAAGTTATTGCTGAAGCAATCAGGAAAAAAACACGAAGTATGTTGCTGTCATCTGAACAACTAAAACTCTGCGTCTTAGAGTACCAGGGCAAGTATATTTTAAAAGTGTGCGGCTGCGATGAATACTTGCTAGAAAAATATCCTCTGAGCCAGTATAAGGTGAGTAATGTTAATAGAGTTATTTCAAAGTGTGCTAGGAGAATTAAAATTGTGAGGAAGGAAGAGACTCATGCATTCACAATTTATGACTGACACCTTAAACTAGTCCAGGAGACAGAAAGTGAAAATTCATAATTAAGCTAGTTGGCTAATTCTTGTGCTGCTGACTGGATAACTGCTATATAAATAAAAATTAGGGCTGTCAATTAATCACAGTTAATGCATGCAGTTAACATGTTAATTGGTTCTTGCGTTAATTTTTTAATGCATTAATCACGCATGTGGTTTTGGCGCCTGTGCCGGGGCTCCGCTTTGCCGCCTCCAGACTGCCCAGCGGGGCAGGGCAGCTTGGGCATGGGCTCCTGGCGGCTGCAG